TATTTTATATTATCTAATATAATGTATTATAATATAACATAACATATATTAATAGTTTTATATAATATATATGTATGCATGTATGTATGTATATTATGTTATATAATATAGTTGGGGCAAGTAGACAAATATCATCCCCACTCCGTCCTTGATCCCCAAAGTTTTGGGTTTCCCTTAACTCACCCCAAACCTTGATCAGTGGTTACAAAACCTCCCAAACCGGGGCAGGGCGGGACTCCATGGGGATGGGTCAAATTGCCATCTCTAATAACCAATAAGCTCTTAGCCAATGTTGGCCACCACTTGTCGGTAGGGATGGTAATTTTCCCTATCCCCGCCAAGTACCTAATCTCTCCCACCCAATGGGGTCAGGGATGGGGATTGTTTTGGTGGGGCAGAGATGGGGATGGGGATTGTTTGTTGGGGCGGGGATGGGGATGGGGATTAATAAGAATCCCCAACCCTGATTATATATTAAATATACATTATTATATATGATATCATTTATATTTTGTATATATATAAATATGTTTAAAATCTTATTTATATTTTAAAATTTTCTTTTATTTAAGTAAATTTATTTTTCAAAAGTTCTATTAATTAAAAATTCCATGGATTCGGGTCCCCACGAGGAACCCACTTCCGACGAGGTCAAGGATGGGGAATATGATCCCCACCCCGTTGCCATTCCTACTTGTTAGGTTTCTCTATCGAAACGGGTATGTATTTCTTCCATGGTTTAAAAAAAATGACCCGGAACCGGAACTGTTCTGACCACCGGTTTTTGGGTTGATAGTTCGAACTGACGATCCATTTTGACAACAAAAATTAAAAGTAAAAATGGCAAAAAACCGTTGAACAGGTTGATGGTTCAACAACCTGGACAATGGGTTGTTAACCGATTCAATGGTTTTTGGCCATGAACCGGGTTTGGGGTAAAAACAGAACCGATTTCCTGGATGATTCCCAGGCCGAACGGTCCAACCGTTTGAATCAACAACGGTTCAAAAACCATGATTTCTCCCAACTTCTTCCTCTTGCAATTTTTTTCTCTGATTTTGGGATTCCTTACCATATTAAGTCTTTTGTTTTTTTCATCCACAGCTAGTCTCTTCCGCCCTCCGTCGCAAACCACCACTTAGCCACCCATATCCTCAGCCTTTAACACCACCACCATCAGTGTTCCCCTCTCCCATTATCTTACAAATATTCAGTTATTAGTTTATATATTTATTTTGGGATTTTTAGCTATTCTCTTCAAATGGTGTTAACTCTTATTGTTTAGAATCGTAGAATGCTTAAAATATTTTTGAGTTGAAGACCAAATCGTTGATTACTCATTCATATATAAAATTTTGAAAAAGTATTGGTGAAAAACTTTTCGGTTATAGATATCCTGTTAACATGTTTGAAGAATGTATAATAAACGTTCGGTGAAAATTTTTCATTGAGAAATGTTGGAAAAAAGGTTCGAATAAATATTTGGTGACATAGACCTATCAAATGTTGGAGAAAAAAGGGATAATACAAATTCGGTGATAAGAATATTAAGGTATAAAATTTGGGGAGAAATATACTATAAAAGGTTAGAAAAAAAATATAAGATAATATTGGTGATGGATATCATAAGAAAGGTAGTAAAAAATTAGAATATGAAGGTATAAATATAAATGTTGGAAAAATTTTAATATAAGATTAAGGGATGATTATAACAACAAAATTAGAATATAGGTTTGGTGATATCAAATCAATGACAAAAAAAAAAAGCATACATCATATATATGAAATGTTAGAAAAGAAGATATAATCATTCATAACAAAGAAAAAAATCACATCTTACATCCCAAAAAAATGGTGGGAAAAATAAAACCACATATTATATCCTATGGTATGTTTGGATGAAAGAATTTAAATTCAGTGAAATAAATCCAAAATTAATAGCTTGGATTTGCTTGGTGGGATTGAGATGCATGGAATCAAAAGGTGTGGTGTAGACTGATTCACACAATTTGTCCATAATTTAGAACAGATGTAAATTGTGGTATAGTGTGAGTTAGTCCATGTCACAATGGTGTGGTATGGGCTAAGTCTACACCCACCAATTTCTCATCAACATTATAGAACACTCCTAAGTAGGGGTGTAAATGGATCGAATTTGAATCCGATTAGAAAATTCAATATTCAAATTTGATTTAATATCTGATGGATATTGAAAACTAATATTCGAATTCGATTCCAATTAAATATTCGAATATTTGATTCGATTCAAATTCAAATAATTAATTATTTTAGGTAATTAATAAATATATAAAATAAATATTTTATTTATATAAAGTATATAAAGTATATAAATATATAAATTATTTATATAATTTAATTATCATATATAAATTATATAAAATATTAAAAAACTTTATATATTATATATAAGAATTAAATAATCGGTTAAAATCGGATATTTATCGAATAGAATTAGGTCATATCTGAATTCAAATCCGATTAGCTATTCAGTATGAATAAGATATCCAAATTCGACCGATTAGAAATTCAAATTATCCGAATTATATTCGATTATGTCTAATCTCAAATTTGAAATCGGATTTTCAAATACCGTTAGCACCCCTACTCCTAAGTTGTTTTTTTCACACAAAGTGAAAATGTTTTTTTTTTTCTTTTTTTTTGCACAGAAAGTGAAAACCATGGATATGATCTCATGTCTAGTGTTATGTATAGCAAGTTATGTGCAGCAGATCCAGATTCTAAAAAGGAAACTTCCTTCTTGTAACAGCTCAACTTGATCTATTCCATTTTCCAAGAAGGCAATAGTTCTCTTCAAGGTTCAAAATATCGATACTCCCGATACGCCGAGTATCGGGCGTTTCGATACTTGTTTTTTTACTTTTTTTTTTTCAAAACTGGTTCAGGGGAGCCGGTCTAGGACCCCTCCATCCCCAGAACCGGTCAGACCCCGATACACCCACTGTAGGGACGTATCAGAAGGATCCTGTAATGATATGTATCGGCCGATACGTAACGATACTTTGAACCTAGGTCCTCTTTTTGGTATTTGGAAAAAAAAAGGTTCTAACAAAGGATAGCACATCCCCACAGATCTGAAGATCACTGATGCATAAGATTCCAAGGAAAATCATAAGTAAAACTCTCCTATATCACCAAACTTTGCTAATCAATCTGCTGCTCTACACGTGTGCAAATTGGATCTCCCATTATCGCGCTAGGCTTTGAATTCTCCAATTACATTGTTGAGGTTGTCGATCATCAGCTTTTGAGTAATGTATCCGTTCAATCCAAATCTCAAGCTCCAAGGAGGCAATCATTCAAGGCAAATATTTCTTGATGGATGATTCTAAAAACTGCCTAGACCTGAACACGCGTGACAGAAGTAACACCAAACCTCCATGCGTTGCAAAATAAATGTTCACCTATGAAAATTAATCTAATAGGCGATCCCTTATAGAAATTGAGCCTAGCAAACAAGGTTTTTTTTTTTTCCATTTTGACAATTACCTAGAAAACAAGAAATTAAGACTATTTAAATAGAAAAAATGACTGACAAATGCACTTTTACACCTTGTTGCAGCAGAAGATTTACCAGAGAGAGAGAGAGAGAGAGAAGGGCGGAACCGGGGTGTAAAGATCCCCCTTCTCAGAAGCTCAGAGGAGGAAAGGGGTAAAAAGTCAGAGCCACCAAGGGGAGCAAAACGCCCAGGAACAACAAGATGCTGCAGCCATGGAGGAGCAAAACGCCCAGAAGCAGAGAACGCCCACCTGAAGCGGCCTCCAAGTTCCCCCAATCAAACCCCATCGGATGTGGTGGCAGTGAAAGAGAACGCCCATTTGAATCGGCCTCCAAGTTCCCCCAATCAAACCCCATCGGATGTGGTGGCAGTGAAGGAGAACGCCCATCTGGATTTGCTCCAATGCCACCGATAGACACCACCTGCTGTTAGGAGAGGAGGGAGAGAGAGAGAGAGCGAGTGAGAGAGAAGAAGAAGAAGAAGAAGAAGAAGAAAGAAGGAGAAGAGAGATAGAGAGCGAGCAAGCGAGAGAGAAGGAGAAGAAGAAAAAGATCAGAGTGAAAAAAAGAACGTTGAAAGAATCAAGACCAAATAAGAAAAATGAGAAGTCAGCTTCGCTCCCTGAGTAACTCCAATACAAAATAATAAATACCTTCAACTTCAAGGTATTTGTTGTGGGTCCAGGTCCAATTTGCATGCAAGCAATTCTCGTAATAAAATAGGACCCTTTGGTTACCCATTTCATATGAGATCCACAGCAGTACATCACTAACATGAATTAGACCGGGGAAGTCTTGCCCTACCAATAACAAAAGCAACAATAACAAGGGAGAAGATGCAGGTAAGTGACCTAAGACAGGCAAGTTTTGGGACTTTAAAGGAGTCTATGGATGATTGGATTCTTTGTGTCACGGTCACCCTATATTCATGGAACAAATTTCATCTTGGACCACCTTGTCACAGGTTATAATGATTAAGAAAACACTTTGTTTATTGATAACTTTTAATTTACAATAAAAAAATGGAAAACATGGACAGATATTATAAAGTACGGATACAAAGGTCGACATGGATTAAAAACATATAGCTGATGCAAAAGGGTCCTCATTGAATCAAGAACTAGAGCAACATGGGGGCATAAAATATGCCTCCTGCCAATTGTGGCCCCCTTCATTCAAGGAATTTCCAACTTCAGCTGATGATAGGAAAAACAAACCAAGAGCATACTAATGAAACATCCAAAGAGGCCCTTGTGACTGTTAGCATGGGCGTATCAACTGTAGATAGATGATTTTTTTTCCCTTTAGCTGTCAAACTACCTCATCATCATATCTTCGGCATCATCTACAATGCAACCTAGACGGTGCAAGTGTGCAACAGTATCGCCCACTAGGACCAACTTGGCAAGTTATCGTATTAGAGAAATGTACCTCTATCTCAATTGCTGTGCACATTAAGAAAGAACTCAAAGAAGCGCATTACACATTTGCATCAGTGAACAGGACAGAAGAATTTACATAGTCTATTCTGCTGTATACTAGACGCCGGAATGCCGGGAGAAAAATTTTAGGTGTCATCTGAAAGTGAAACAAAACAAAACACCATCCTCTCAGACATTCGGGCATTGTGGTCTGACCTACTCTTCTCTTTGATCAAGATTCAGTTAGTCCTATTGGCAAGAAATAAGGGATCCTCCTTGTTCCGGTAAATATTGAATAACTGTGCGGAGTGGTTAATAGCCAGTTTTTTGCATTCCTCAAGCCCTCTAGGATCATACTTTTCCAATTCCTCAACAGACTTCTTTAGATCTCCTTGTGGGTCCCCATCAGTAAGAAACTCAGCCAATATAGTGCCCCTAGAAAGAAATGTCAAGACTGGAAATATTAATACGTATACAGTTAAAAAAAAGCAAATTAAGGGTGTTCGGCAACGTTATAATTTTGTTTTTCAAAACAAAAACAATTGCCACATCAGTAAAATCAGCTTGCTTTTTGCTGATGTAGCAGTTGTTTTTTGAAAAATAAAATCATATATGTTGGCAAAAACCACTTAAGTCAATAATAAATGTTTTGACTTCTCATCTCCTGGTTGAACTGTAGGTGGTGGTGCATATGAGATTGTTGTGATGGGATCCATCTCAAGACAGTTTATAAAAATTGACTGGTTTCATACCTCAATCCAAAGCCTATTACCATTGTTCTACCAAAATACAACAGATCACTCAATTATGTAACTAATAATGGACCATCCCCCATTGATTTACCTGAAACTTGGTACGTTTTGTTCTCTTTTTATGAAAAAACAAAAGAAAATAAAAATAACTACAAAAGCACATAGCCAATAAAATACGCACTTTGAAGTTCAAAACTTCCGCTGCAAAACTTTTACTGTCAATGAAAGATGTCAAAGGATCCAAGAAATGCCTCATCTCTTTAGACAATTTGGGTTCAAATTTTTTCAAGCATTTCTTACTTATGGAACATTATCTTTTCCCATTTTCCAACAATGTTCTGATTCTTTATGTTTTTCGAAAAAACTTGTGTACACATTCCCTTTAGAGTTTTTTCCATTCTGATTCAAAATGAACGTTTAAAATCTCTGCAATAAATAACTATTTATTTATATACTTTTTTGGGGTCAGGTGGGGTAGTTGATTTGCATTCTTCTTCACATCTTTTTTCAGAGTATCATCTTATTGCTCCTTATCAAAGCCAGTGTTTGAAAAGTGCAAGGCGCACAATTTAAAAAAAAAAGCTAAAAAATTAAAAAAAAACAAAAATTATAAAACATAATATTAATAAAAATATAAACTTAAGTTTTAAAATAGATGTTTAAAAAAACCTATTATCTAAAATTAAAATACATAAATATAATATGTAAAGCATATTCAAATGAGAATTTAAAAATGAAATCAAACATATAAAACATTTTCAAGC